GTCAAGGCAATGAACATACATATATGTGAAGTAAATTAGGCTGAGTGTGTGACTGGCCCAAGCTCATCCAACTGACTTTCATGCCTAAGGACTCAGAGTCTGATGGCTTAACTGCTAGACCAACCTGGCTGCCCTGTTGCCAGGACAGTTATTGGGGTGGACCAAGGTGAATTGGGATACTGCTACTCCCTAGTCATTCCTCTTCGTGAAGTGCCATGGCCCACCCTATGCATCTAAGTAGCACTCAGCCCCTCGCCATGTTGGACAGTGTTCTTAGTATGACAAAATATAGTTACTGACTGCAAAAACATCACTTGGAAGGGCACATGTGTCCCACAGGCTCCACATTGGTGATTTCTATTCCAGAATATGATTCATTTGAAATAAACCATTAAGTTTAATCCAGCAGATTCAGTATTTTTGTTTGTTTATTTCATTGTGTCCTTTTTTTAAAAGAAAAGTGAACAGTTCAACAATTTAAATATTAGAGCCATGCACACTTCAAAAACAATGTGAATAACATACTTTAGGTCTCAAAATAAAGACTTTTCTATTATTCATACAGCAGCCTTCAATCTAGTCTTGTAAAAGGTCCAACTGTTTTAGGAGTTGTGTTAACTGCTAAAATATTAGGAATGATATTTTTGTCATGCTTGTGGATACTTGTTTTAATGTAGTCAATGACTAAAAATAGCAATTACACACCTGATCCAAGTCAATGGTCAATCATTAAGAATAAGAGGTTGATAAACTTTATGATTAAATTTTAACTGAAATTGACAGAGCACACAGGGGAGAGTTGCTGCTTATGGTTGAAGATTGGAATGCCGAAACTGGAAATATGTAAAACACAGTTTGGACTGTATGGCCTAGGAAAAAGATAAGAAGCAAGAGAACACATGTTTCTTCCAATTCAGTGAAGTTCTCATTGCTAACAGTGTTCAAACTATCAAATCACTAGATGGAACATACAGAAATCAAATTGACTACATACATTATTGGTATAAGAGGTATAGAAGCTCAGTTACAACAGGAAACGTGGTTAGAGGCTAATAGTGTAATGGATTACAAACTGTACACATGCAAATTTCAAGTCAAGCTGAAGTGGAGGAACAAAGCCAACTAGTTTCTATGATATAGTTCTGATATAGTTTCCATGATACAGTTCTACAGGAATTATTGAGGCTGTCACCTGCACCTCGCTAACTGTCTGGTTTGGCTCTGCAAAAAAACAAGACAGAGAACAGATAATTAGAAAAAACAATTGCTACCAAGCTACCTTCAATTGAGGACCTGTATATCGAACAAGTCAAAGAGGGCTGTGAAAATATCTACAGACCCCTTACATCCTGGACATAAACTGTTTCAACTTCTACCCTCAAAATGACGCTACAGGGCATTGCACACCAGAACAACTAGACACAAGTAGTTTTTATCCCCATGTCATCACTCTGCTAAACAACTAATTCCCACAAGAGTCAAACTATTTAGCAAGGCTGTATTACTATTCTTCTTATCTTTCCTATTACCTATCTCCTTTTCTACTTATGACTATAACTTTGTTGCTTGTATCTTTAAGATTTATATTGTTTTATTTAGTTTTGAAGTATGATCTATGTTGCTTATTTAGTATCCTATGACTATCACTAGGTGTTGTATCTTATGATTTATGATGTATTTTTATAACCATGATTTATCACTTTTAGCTTTATGTACACTGAGAGCTTATGCACTGAAGATAAATTCCTTGTGTGTCCAATCACACTTGGCCAATAAAGAATTCTATATGATCCTGAGCATATACCCACTGATTTCAATTATGGCCCCAACTGAGCCCAAGATTTTTGTTCTAAGCAAGACAGTAAGTGAATGTTGCCCCATTTTATGACATTTCTTGCCATAGTTGTTAAATGAATCACTGCAGTTGTTAAGTTAGTAATACAGTTAAGTGAATCTGGATTATCCATTAACTTTGCTCGCCAGAAAGTGTCAAAAGAGAATCACACAATGCCAGAACATTGTCATAAATATGTCATAAATATGAATCAGAGGCCAAGTATCTGAATTTTGATTATGTGGCTATGGGGATTTTAAATGTGAAAAAAGATAGTACGTCACTTTTTTCAGTCCTGTTGTAACTTCGAACAGTCACTAAATGCTGTTGAAAGTCAAGGACTATCTGTAGTTATTTTTGTCTATACTTACAAATATGATAATCATATAGACAATGTTTTCTGTGACACTCTGTAGAAGGGAAATCATGGAGAAAATAACAATCCATAATTTTTACTCAGACCTAATTATTTGATTAGGTTTAAATGATCATTTCAGACATATTATAGAAAGATCCAGTTTCCTTAAGACAATCATAATGCTGATAATAGTAAAAAAGACTATCAGCAGCAAGATGCAGACTCAATTACTGCACAAGGAAACAGGTGCACTATTGAAAGAACTTGAAGGGTCAAGTTGGGAACAGATCATCCTAGAGATGGTCCACCTATGTCAGTGGTTCTCAACCTGTGGGTCGGCATCCCTTTGGGGGTCGAACGACTCTTTCACAGGGGTCGCCTAAGACCAGTGGAAAACACATATTTTCGATGGTCTTAGGAACCGAGACACAAATTTTATGGTTGGGGGTCACTACATGAGGAACTGTATTAAAGGGTCGTGGCATTGGAAAGGTTGAGAATCACTGATGTAGTCACTAAGAGTCAAAATCAACTTGATAGCACATGATCTATCACTTTATACTAAATTTGGTTCTCCACAGAATATAACTACATTTTAAAAACTACTTATAGTTGTTTAAATATAGTTGAACCTTTATAGTTTAAATTTTGACTCAGTGAAATTTCAGTCTTTAACAGATTCCTATAAACATGTTCTCTCCAACTGCACAGCTCCACTACAGGTTGACACAAATTAATCTCTGGAATACATTGACTACATTATGGTGTATGTTTGTTATTCCTATTACAGTTATTCCCTTTGTTTCTTTTAGGTACTATACTGTTTTATAATTTGTATTGTTGGGAGCTGCTTAGAGATGCTTAACATGGGCACATAAATCTTTTAAATAAATTTCCCTCCAGAACTGGCTAAATTTATATATCAAAATTACATTTTTTTTAAAAAAAGCTTCAGCATTTTAAAGCTTCATTATAATCTGAAAAGTGTAAATAATCAAATTAAACACTTGTGGAGTGTGGAATTGGGAAAATACGAAGTTTTTTTTCTACGCAAAAGATCAAGATGGTTCCCGCTTCTCTTCCATTTCAATGAATTAGCTAAATTTAAGGTGGACCAGAACTTTGAAATAAGAACTGTATAACTGTAATTTTGGAACTGGGCATTAAGGAAGAACAAAAGACTAAGATGGCTCCCGATACTCTTCTTCTCCACATCAGTTGAACTAGCTAAATTTAAGGTGGAACAGAACTCTGAAATAAGAACTGTATAATTAACTATAACTTTGGAACTGGACATTATGAAAAGGTGGGAATTTGAAGAACTACGTGAAATTATAAAAAAATGCATAAATCATTAAAATCAAGTCTAAATAAAATTATGAACTCAGAAAAGCAGAAACAGAAGAAAGAAGTGAAGGAAGAAGGGGGAAGGCATAATGAAGGGGTGGAAACAATGGTAAATAAAAAGCAGACAAAAAACTTCTTTGGGTTTGACAATGGTACAGAGAAAATTGAAAAAGGGGGATGTCCCAACAAAAGGAAATAAAAAGCAGACAAAAGACCTTATGGAGGTTGATAGTGGCATAGGGACATATATCGAACTTCTAAGATAATGAACAAAGTGAGATGTGCACCTCTTGCTATTCTATACAATAGATTAAGGGAATTGTAATGAACAATGAAAAGTAAGGATTTTTATTTAAAGACAATTAAGGGTAACCTAAGCCAAGATATGAAAAAAGGAAAGGGAACATGAAATATATTTACAATGGGAAATTATTGAGATTTAAAGACAGAATCAAAAATGTGGGGTGTGTAAGGATGCATAAATTATATAAATACGATGAGAATAGCTGGGAATTGTAACCGGGTCTACATCTCGACCAAAAATAGACTGGGCAAGGGGGAGTGTTTAAAAATACAATTACTATATATGTATACTTTTTTCTGTTAAAAAAGGAGGAATATATATGTTAAAATTAAATAGAGGGAGAGAGAGAAGAAAGTGACAGATAAGGTACAAATATGGAGTATGGAGAGCAGAAGACCCAATAATTGTCTAATTGTTTTGGGGAGTTGGTGGTAAGACGAATTGATGTAAATATCTAATAATATAATACGATGTTGGCTATGTAATAGCATACACGTGGTTATATGTTATGAAAATGAAAAAAATAAAAAACTTAATAAAAAAATTAAACACTTGAAAAGTCTTCCCCAATAAACTGTTTCTGGATGACCCTGGTTTGCCCCCCAAAAGTGCATCAATAACTAAGCTGCCCTTTCAAGTACTTTTGAATTATTTTTATCCACACATGGCCGACCAATAAACAAACCGACAATTGTGCATAACTTTAAACCATTTCAGGATGTGGGGGGGGGGGGAGTCTGAGCAACCAGTGCCCCCTCCTTTCAATCCTACCCAGGCATCAAAAACTATACTCCCCACAAAGTATAGCGTAAGTTCTGGAGAAGCCGGCCGGAGACCAGTGTAAGAAAAAAAAAAGGCCAACTGTTCCTTCGCCTCTCGCTCGCTCCGAGCAGCCCGCCGGCCTCGCCGCTTTCAACCCAGGAAGCAAAGGGCCGAGCCGGGCTCTACGCGCCAACGAGGGTGGAGCTCCGAGCGCAGCGCATGAGTGTTCGTCTTTTGCAGTGGCACGAAGGCGCGGAGTCGGGGCAGGGGTTTCTTTGGGCTGCCCGGTTTCACCAAACCGCCCGCTTCCACTCGGCGGTGGCCGGAGCCGGGAACCGCCCCCTAAACAAGGAAGTTCTCCCCTGGCCCAGCCGCTCCCTTGCGTTCCGCCGCAGCTTGCAGGGGTCACCTCTGTCCCCCGGGGGAGGTTATGAAGCTCACTAAAGCCCAGTACGAAGAGGTGGTTCAGTTCCTGGCTCAGGTACCGCCTACCAGGCAGACCCTGAGGAAACTGAAGGAAAAATTCCCCAGGTAAGTCTTCCCCGGGCAGTCTCCACCCCCGCCTCTTCCCGCCGCCTGGCTCTTCCAAGGCAAATTCCGCCCCCTTTTTTACGCGAAGGAAGTGAAGAAGTCAGCTGTCGGAAGTAAACTGTTAACAAGTGGCGGCCCGACGCTGCGGGGAATCTTTTTCTAACGGGAGAGGAGGCAGCTCAGTCGGCTTGGCGGCGGGATAAAAGACTCGCTCCCCTGTAGTGTAATTTCCCTTCGCTGAGGCAGCTTTTTCCGCTGGATTTTAAAAAAAGGAGCGGGAGGTTGGAGGAACAGTAAAAAAAGAAGAAAAGTGTGACTGGCTTGCTTGCCAGGGAGCTCAAAATGACAGTTACCCATGAGTAAAGATGTAAAGTGTGGTGTGTCCTCTTTAGAATGGCGACCTCAAATGTAAATAAGCTGCTAGTTCTCAATAAATTATATCTATTCTTCATTTCAGCCTGATGTCGGATTGTAGCATACCAACTGTCATGTGAACCAGGTTCCAATATTGATACTTTTAAGATCTGTTGTAAATATCTTAATTCTTAAAAAATAAAGATAGTGGGGAAGTGTTTAGATACATGGAGTCCTTGATTTATGTCCAAAACATTTCTATTTGCTAACCAAGACACTTGTTAAGTGAGTTATGCCCCATTTTGTGCCTTGTCTTTAGACACAGTGGCTAAGTGAATCACTGTAATTGTTAATAATATGGTGGCTAAGTGAATCTGGCTTCACCATTGACTGCTTGTCAAAAAGTCGCAAACCTCGGGACACTGCAGCTGTTACATATACATGCCAGTTCCTAAGCATCCAAATTTTGATCATGTGATCATGGGGCTGCAAAGATCATGTGTGAAAACCAGTCATAAGTCACTTCTTTCAGTCCTGTTGTAACTGAATGGTCACTAAATGAATCATTGTAAGGTGAGGACTACCTGTATTATCAATGTGCTTGCACTTTATAATGTACACTCCTTCTACCAAAGGTTACATCTTCCCCAAATAGAACATATTGCTCTAGTTTTCCCAAGATCTGATCTAGTTTGGAACTTCCTATGGCCACATGCCACAAAAAAAAATAAGGTCAATTCTTTCTGTTAGCTTATCAGACAGATTAGTTATGGTAGTTTCGATTATCAAGAAGACTGCCTTAAATTTCTGAAGGAACAGTAGAGTGACATTTCCAAAAAACTAAAACATTTGTTAATCTTAGTATTGTAAAAATAATGTTCATTCATTTTATATTCATGTTGGCAAACATATTTAACACCAGCTTCTTTAGCACTTAACTCTTTCTAGCATCACTGAAAAGTCTTAATGGTAACCATATTATTCCATTGCAATAAAACAACCAAAGCTATCTGTATTATGCCATTTAATGTTCTCATTCTAGAAGCCATTCTGTCAGATAGGTTTAAATAATCACTGATATAGGAAGATACAAGTACTAGACATATACAGCATTGTGGACATGTTTTATGTTTAAATGTGTACAAGGATATCTAGATAGCATCTATCTACACCTACTTAAAACAGTGGCCCATTTTTGCCCTGGTATCATATGGCTTCTCTCCTAAGCCACAGTATAATCATGGAAAAATACTTGTTCTGTGGGGTCCTCTCTGAGCTTAATTGTTTGCTTGCAGATATTTTATTACCCAACTAGGTAACATCAATGTGAGTGTAAGTGATGTTAACTAATTGCGTAATGAAATGTTGTAAACAAACAATCAAGGTCAGACAGCACCAAGTACTCCACAGTTCAACTCGCATGCATGCATGCATACCCTTTTGGGAGGTAGTGGGTTTTTAAAGGGAAAAAGAGAGAATTTTATACTGAAAAATTCGCAGTGGAAAAAGGGAAAAACAATTTAGGATTCACTGTAAGACTTGATGTTCTAGTCTTGCCTTAGACATGAAATCCTGTTGCCTGACTTCAGGCCAGTCACTCGCTCTTACCACAATGTAACTCATAGGGTTAGCTATTTATGCTTGGATAGGAGGAAAGAATATTAGGTATGTTTGCTGTCTTGAAATATTTATAAAAATGATGAATGAATTAATGAAGGAAGGAAGGAAAGAAAAAGAAAAGAAAGAAAGAGTTTTCAGTTGCAAAGTAGGATGACAACTATGAACTGCTAATTTCTATACTAGATTAATCAATATGAGATGACAACTATTGTATATACTTGTTTTGATGTGTGGATTTCAAGCTTTATTTCCCCACTAAGGTAAGTAGTATTATTATATTTGTCTGACTGTCAACGACTCTGAGTGGCTCACAATGTGTTTTACCAATATAACTATTATGCATTGTAGAATTATATTAATCCTGCAAATCTTCTTGCTATTAAAAAGTGAACAGCCAATTGAATATGAAGCTGGGTTGCAGATAATTAACTGTGATGTATTTTCTGGGTGTAATATATATAAATAATATTAGTTTGTGCAGCATAAAGATTTATATACTTTTCATATATAATGGCATGCAGGATGTGATCTTGTTTGATGGAGTGTTTGAAGTATAGGTTAACCTAGATCTTAAGAGAGGCTTCCTTCACTTTATGCTATGATTATGTACCATGATAAGCTCATGCAAGGCAAAAACACATAGAACAAGATATTGAAAGAGTAGAAAAAAGGAATCTGTGAGTTAGAGTGTCAAATTTTGTAGTCTAATGAATTGACATAATGTGTAGAGCCTTATTCTTGAGCACTACATTATTCAAGCATGTTTCTTTCCTTCCCTTATGTTCCCTGCATATTTCCTTCATGTTTTCTACAGCTGGATTTATAATGTGTGTGATTATCATAGAAAAAAAATTGAATGCATCACAGCATTACAATTTTATTAGCATTCTTTGCTATGTTATGCACAAAAGGTTCAATCAGGTTAAAAAGCTGAGGATTGGAGGACATCCAACTTTGTTTCTAGGAACAAAGGTCTTAGAAAGATCTATTTTGTTTTCATTTTCTCTCTTCATTTTGATACCCTAGTAACAATACAGGTAATTCTCAACTTACAACCAAATTGGGACCAGAATTTTGTATGCTAAGTGATGCAGTTGTTGAGCAAATCATCATGTGACCAGACCCAATTTTATGGCTATTTTTACCATGGTGATAAGCAAACAACCATGATTGTTAAGCAAAATATCATGTGAGCATGATTTGTAATCTTTACTACCAGTTTCCCAATTAATTTTACTTGGAAGCTAACTAGGAAGGTCACAAATTGTGATCACATGATCACAGGAGTGTATGTTACAGACATAACTTCAGTTGAAAATTAATTTGCAGATTTGATAATTGAAACCGTTGGCATAAGAATAAACTGCAAAGGCTTACAGTGATACAATTGCTGCCGCATCTTAAATTGTTTGATCTTTTGGCCCATAAATTAACAGCATGGTCACACACACACCTTTCTCTGTTTATATAGTACATATTTACAGAACTTGCACCAGGTCCCAAGAGGTGATTCTTAATTTTTAAGGAATTTTCAAGCCAGTTTGCAGCAGCAGTGAGCATCGGTGTCTAATGCACCAATCAACAGTTCCATAGCTACCAATATGATACCATGGCAGCAGTGGAGATAGTCATTGATAAATGATGACTGTTGTCATTAAACAAGACCTCACACAACCATGATGGACTCAACGACTTCACTTTCCTTATGGTTATTAAGTATATCACCTCCAGTTGTTAAGCCCGACATCAGATGATCATGACTTGCAATTTTACTGCTAGTTTCTCCATTGACTCTGCTTGTCAGAAGCTGGCTGTAAAACATGCAAGCGGTAATCACATGATCATGGGATACTGTGACATTTGTAAACACCTGCTTGTAAAGCGCTTGAATCTTGATCACATGCAAGTGTGGTAGGCAGTATAGAAATTTGATTAAATAAGCAAACAAACAAGGTATGAGGACCAGTCGTAAAGATACTTTCAGTAGTGTCATAACTTTGAAACCTCTCTAAACAGGAAATTTAAGCAACAACCATCCAAGTAAACACTTGTGTGATCTTTTCTTTTTCCTGAAGATGTTGTTTCTCTAACATGAAAGCTGTTATGTACATTTTGCAATTGTTTTAAATAGTCTTAAATTAAAGCTGGTGCCTGGGCATGCTGGATCACCCATGGAAAACTGAAAAATATTAAACAAAACTTTCAATCCAATTTTAGCAGGAACTTGTTTCTCCAAATATAAATAGCATGTGATTGCTTTTAATATAAAAGAATAATGCATAAAAGGATTATAATTCAGTTGAAAGTTTCAAGGTCAGTAAATTGGCTGAATATTAATACACTATTTCTCAAATCATTTTGTCTCTTGGATGTTACCATATAGGGAATATTTTCTATTTAGCTTCATAATAGAAAAGAAATAATTGAAGATGACCTTTCCTAAAAAATATTAGCAATTACTTTTTCTTACAAAAGAATTGCTTTGTATTATCTTGTATATGAGAGTAATTTTCCATTTTGTAATCTGCTAATATTTTGCTAACATTCTTGTTAAATTTAGATAAATAAAATATTTTGTATTAGAACCTATTAATTTAATAGATTAAACTACTCCATGAATGAAATAACCATTATTTCTTATATTTTCTGAGTATACAGAATTGTATCATTTGTGGAAATTTACTGTTCTGTCTAGAGTATATCTTTCTGCCAATATGCCTAGACTCTAAAATGAAAATATTGTGTGTGGATGAGAAATTGCCAATAATGGTAGGAATCCTGATGGTTTTATGATAGATGCACCTGTCCATTAGGAAATGGCCTGAAACCACCAACTCTCCTTTGAAAGTTCCTGAAGCCTTTTAAATCAAATTAATCTTGAAGCTTCTTGGGACAATTCAGAATAGGCAGAACTTTTTTTTCCCTGTAGGTCCAGATGAGATGAAACTGATATCGATATTTACACTGTCAGAGAGAACTATGTAAAAGGTGCCAGACAAAGCCTTCTTCAGAAATAATGGAAACAT